AGCAGCTACAGCAGTCAGCTCACTCCAAGGCTCAACATTCTTCTCATTTGGATCCTATTACAGAGTGAACCAGCAGCCATGTACAGGGTCCCTCCCAGAAATCACCCTCTCAAAGCTCTTAATGCAGAATGTGATTCTACATTTATCAAACATTTGGTTTTGCTCAACAATAGGCTCACAGGGTGAGGCCGGTGGAAGTTCTTTCTTCATGAGTTGGTGGTGGGAGTAAGTGCCCACAGAGAGGAATGACACAATGAGCGGTCTTTCCCTGCACTGAGTGGGCTTTCCTTACATTCTGAAGGCCAGCGCTTCCACTCATACTTTCCAAAAAGACATTTTCTAAAACTGCTAGCCACCAAAGCTACAGTATCCACAAATCCCACCTTGTATGCAAGCTCATGAATGTGACGTTAAATGTATAAAAAGCCTATAAAACACGTCATCGTATGGTGCTATTACTGGATGAGAAGCCAAACACTGAAAAACAAAGATATTTGGGTAAATGTGCCTTTAGTGGCCATGCATTTTAGAACTGTGTATTAAATTGTAGTCATAAGAGCAGAAGTTATTGATATTCCTTTTTTTTTTACTTTACAGGTATTAAACAATAGCGTCAGTCATTTTCTATATTAACAGTATTTTTAAAACTCCCCATACAGAGACAATGATTTTCCTCTATGCACTGTTAATGTGTGTCAGTCCTGGGTTATTTTATTCATCTGTGCCATAGACCTCCATTGTTATACAAAAACAAATCAGTGGAACACACTGCTGCACCGGTTGACATGTTTCCTCATTATGAAACACCAGGCCCTGATATTTTACAAAAATGTTGCCCCAGATGTTCCAAATGGCACCAGGTGCAGCAGTGTGCCTTCCTGATGTGTTTTAAATGTTCTTTGACAACAATGGAGGTCTATGGCACAGACACATAAGCTAATACAGGACTGTTGATTTTAGTCTCTGTATGGGTAGTGCTAAAAATACTGTTAATATAAAAAAAATGGCCAACCTTATCCTTTAACAAGCCAAGACCGCAATGCAGGGATTTCAGCTGGTTCTAAGTCCTGAGGCCACAGAGCACTCAGACATCTGGTCAGCAAATATACAATCAGCAGCCACCTGGGCATCGCGCTGGTGGATTTCCAGCAAACCATAATCAAACAGAAACTCATACTGGCTTTTACAAAAAAAAAAAAAAAGCTTTAAAGTATGGCTGCAACACTAAAGTAACTAATGATTATCTCACTCAGAACAGGGACTACCATTTTCATCTGTTATCACCTTGTGAGCGAGTTTGCCACATATGGAGACGTACAGTCCTAACACACACCACTGATCATTAACACCATCAAGCCAGTGTAAGTTGGTGTATTCATTCCCCATCCATTTACTTCACTGACCACCCGACACCATACTGGGCCACCACAGCAATAGGACACATAAGAACAAGAACGAATGAAAGCGGTGTCTTATAAAACTGACTGGACAACCTGTGCTATAATAAAGAACAATGTGATTCTGTCATATATGAGCCACAATTTCCGCTGCTGGCTCGTCTTCCAAAACAGCTCAAACCTGCTACTTTATTTTCTCAATGAATCCAAATAAACAAGCCAAGCAGCACTTAAACTACCAACCCCCTGCTCATGCTCCTTTGTGGATGTTTGCTGAATGGAAGCAGACAAAACGAGCACAATGACCAAACAGGGGGTTGGCGGTTTTGCAGTAAACACCATCACCGAACTAAAAATATTTTGTAATCAGAGGGTTTAGAGAGCAAACAGAGGAGTAGGAAAGAAAAGCAGAGAATGATAGAGTGCCTATGAATTACCCAGCAGACACATCTCCCTCTCTTTCCTCCCTGCAGGAGATAATGGGGATCATCCATCTTCTTGCCCTCCTTTACGCCCCATCTTTTGACCACGCATCTGCATCCAGGTCAGCAGAGAAATAATACAGCTCCTTTCCAATAACTATGATGCACAGAATTTGGTAGGAGGAGATTTCACTCTACCAGCATTGTTGGGAAAAAGCCTGTGTCACAAAGCAGAATTATCACATTGGCTGGATAACAGCACTGATTCAAGGCCCTAAAAACTAATTTTGTCAGTCAGCTTTTTACTATCAGTGAACAAAGTGTCATACATGAACAATTTCTTTCTGCCAAAGTCCATTTCAAGCGCTATTTCACATGAAATGTCTGTGTTTGAAGTGCTACATGCTTAAGAACACAGCTAGCCTAGCTCTATCCAAAGGCTAAATAAAACCCACTGCCAGAACCCTTAAAGCTCATAGATTAAACATGTTACATTTGTTTAATCCTTACATAAAGTAAAGGGTAAACAGATTAAAGCAATATATTTTCACAATATCAAAGTATTTCCGTTTATTTTAAAAAGCCTAAAGATGCTTGTTAAACTATTTAAAGTAAGGGACAAATGCTAAATAACTAACAGGTGTTTTATAACCCTGAACAGAAATTCTGTGTTTTTCTGTCAATATGGGGTGCTGTGTGTACATTAATGAGGAAAAAAAAAGAACTTAAATGATTTTAGCATATGGCTGCAATATAACAAAGAGTGAAAAATTTAAGGGGGTCTGAATACTTTCTGTACCCACTGTACATACACACATACACGTCACAAAAAGGCCCCAAGACTACACAGTAAAGCGGTTTCAAAATATTTAAACTACATAAACCCACTAAATAACAGAAAAAGCACTGGGGTAAGTTTGAGGAAAAACTAAATCACTGTACATTGAAAGTGACAAAGTGGCCTGATATACAGCAGAGGTCATCAGAAATGACTGGATGACTGAGTTGCATACTCTCATAAACACAAACTCTTCTGAGAGCAGTACATTTTAGGACAAACATTCACCAAGAATTAAAAACACAAGAGAAATTAAAGATGAACGCATCTCTTAAGGAAACACTATTTATTATAACCACAATAAGAGCGCACAGATTGTTTACTTCACACAACAGCAGGCCTCAGATGCCGATACTGGAATACAGCCGTGCTGCTGGACTGTCTCAGCCAGGTGTTATTCCAGTGGCAGCTGTTGCTATACTGCTTCAAAAAAAACATACAATTCAACTGCATAAACAGTACAATGTTCCCCCACACACAAGCTTAAAACTGAGACATGTCTCTCACTGTCACGCACAGACATGCCTGATGTTAAATCCCTGTGAGAAGAGTTCACTGGAAAGGGTAAAGGGCCTGCAGGTTCCCATCTCCATCCAATAAAACGAGTCGTCTATTATCCTATTTCAGGATGCACAGGGAAGCAATTGAAGGGCATCAATCATCGCGAGGTGAAAAGTTCATAAGAAGCAAAAAGAAAAAAAAATTGAGGAAAAAAAAAAAAAAAAAAAAAAAAAAAAAAAAAAGATGGTGAATTCTTTTTACCTGAATGAAAATGACACACACTTCTTTGATCTGAGAATAAACAGGGGGAGTATGGAGGTGGGGAGAGGCAGAGAAAGAGAGAGAGAGAGCAGAGTGTGTCTGTGAAAGAAAAGCCAGAAAGAGAAGCAAAAGACACATGAGTCAGTGAGATACTGCTATCAGAGCACCAGCATGACAGGATGCAGCATATAGAGAGCAGGAAGAGGAAACTGGACAGATATAGATTGGTTTGGTAGCCCCTCTTCAACACATGTCTGTCTCATTAGGGGCCTCAGTGGCAGCTAATGGGCTTATCAAAGTGTGCACCTTTTGGTCTGCTCCAAATGCCGGTATGGTGCTGCTGCAGAAAGCCAACATGGAAAGAAAAAAAGACTCAACACAGGATTCAACTAGTATGCACCAGAAGATCTTCTATTATTTCAAGTTCTAGGGCTACACTTGTTGATATAGGGTCACACCCAGGGGTCAAATCCACAAATCAAATCAGGCCTAACGTGGGTCATTAATTAGTACGACTTTAGCAGCTCAGCTAATTTTACCAAGTGAGAACCACTCAAACAGATGAACAGCTGGACAAGGAGTCTCGTTGAACAACTAGAAGAAAAAAAGCTTTCTAAACAAGCATCCACTTTATTATTTATAGTGCACAGAAACTGTGCATTTATGGATTTCTACTCAACAGAAGGATGAGCCCAGCATTATTTACTCTCAAAAGTGCTGAGTGACACGTGCAATTGTTAGGAACCTATTTTATATTGAATCGACATTCTCTTACAAGTGTATGACATGTAAGTAGAGTTTATCTGAATCACCGGAGTGTTTAAAAATGAAAAATACAACAAAAACCCAAATCATAATAAATGTTTAATGTTGGAATTAAAAGCTTAGTGAGTTAAGAACTGATGTTTAAAAACATTTAATGGTTTTTATAGACCTGCTGATGCATCTCTATGCTCCAAAGCTGCTCCTTTTATACTAAAGTTGATCAAAGTGCAAATGGAAGATCAGGGATTACATGCCTACACATATACAAGTTTTATTTCTACAGGGCAAAGTTCACAATGTAGTATCCTACTGGTAGTTTATTGGGGCGTGGGAGGGGGCACAGGTAGCTCATTAGTTCTTAACTTTCCTTTACAGACCGTCTGGTTATGTGAAAACTACAAAACAGCAGCATGGGTGTGTCGGCTCAGCTGTTAGCATGAGGGCAAACAGTGATTTGGGGTCTGGACGTGTCGTGTCTCAAACTTCAGGACAGTGGGGACGGCTCGGCTCCATTTAGACGTGAAATAAAACAATGCAGCCTATTAAGCAGCCACTTCTAGGTTAGTTTAGCAAGTCCCTATTCTGCAGGTCGCAGTCGTGAGGAAAAACTACAGGCAGAAGTTGAGCTTTGGTAATGACTGATAGCAGCAGTAGATGATGCTGGCAGGGTTTCAGGCACGAGCCACAAAGCCAAGATAAAGGGCGGTGGTTCTCGTAGCTGTCATTTATCTATAAATGTCTAAAGCCCCTCTTTCGAGGAAAACAGAGTATGTTGGCCACACGCTGCGGTAGTTTGTGTACATATTGTCAGCTTACCTTCCGAGAGCTCCAGCTCCAGCTCCGCCAGCTTCTCCCGGACCTCCGCCGGCAGGGTCATAGCGACGGCCGGCGTGGGCTCCAACATCATCGTTAGCAGCCCGGTCGAGGTTCTCTCTGCCATGGTGGTCGAGTACGAAGCACGAATAGGTCCACTGGGTCTCCGGTGAGAAGGACAATGCCACCGGAGATGAAGGTTTTACGAGCAACAACGCCTTCTCACTTGGGTTTCGACTAGAGAGGGCAAACAGGGTGTTGGTGCGTCTCCCGTGTCGCTGCAACGTCGTACAGATGTGTGAGAAACCTCTCCAACCGTCATGACAGGACTAGCTGCAAGCCTGGCAGACACACCTGGCTGTGTGTTTCCAGGTAGCGTGGCAGGACAGTGCCCTGCCAGCGTCTGCGTGCCTGCGGTCTGTCCCTCAGCCCCCTCGGTGTCCTAACTGTTGGCGGCTGCTTCTCTTCAACTGTGCAGAGAACTCATTCAACTCCTCGCTCGCTTCCCACGGCGCAGTCGCCATTGCATCACAGCAACAGCACCGCCGACCGTGCGCGCTCCCGAGGCCCGCTCTCGTGTTCGTGTGCCGCACGCTGCTTCACGATGCTCCCGCACATAACGCGCCTGCCTCCTGCTGTCACAGCCAGTGCTGCTGCAGAACCTGCCTCAGCTATTCTTCCTGGGGTCTTCTGTATTTATAATCATTACAGCATAATAACAATACAATAATACACATAGTCACTACACATCACCCCAACATAACAATCAAGACAAAACCAGTGTAACCTAATTACCACCCATGCAAATACAAAAGACATTCAGCGATTGAATTAATCATCATTTAACACAATAATCTCAACTCATCTTAACATGCCCATAGAAACATTTACATATAACAGTAAACCTAATTTCTTAGGTTACTTCTCAAATACTAATAATTTAATAACTTTTTAAACAATTAACATTACTTTGTTGAGTAATATAAACTGGATGTACATGGAACTGCCTTAGTTTTAGATCTGAGCCCAATGAAACCACCTCCAACAGCATGTCTTGTTAAATAGATATGTGTATCAGTACAGAAAGATAACTTAATGTAAGTAATGTTTTGATTCTTTGTTCTCATGACATTCCATCAATAAATACAATAGTCTGTTTTTAACCTCTAACTGGGAAAAGCATAACATCTTATTCCACAACCAAGAGCTACTCATGCTGCCTTACTCTGGACCAAGTGTAATTTATTAATATTACCTAATGAAGTACCAGGTCAAACTACAGAACAATATTTTAACTGAGACAAAACCAGAGCTAGAATTACTTGTTTTATTGTCTGTTATGTTAAATATTTTGTACATCTCTAAATTACAAACAAACATGTTTCCATTTTAGCTATCAATCTCTCTGTATATTTATCCAAAGACAATTTATTATCTATTATAATTCTCAGCACATTAGTATCATCTACTTGTTTAATTGGCTTATTATTTACAGCCAGCTCAAGCTTTAACTCAGAGATTAATTTGTGCCTATTATCATACTGGTTGTTTTAGACACATTTAAAACAAGATTGTTACTGTTAATCCAGTCAGCAGCTAATTTCAATTCTCGATCTAGCAGTCACCTGAGAAATGCTATCGTAGTATTAGATTTGTTTTTTATTTATTACAAAAAACTTCATAACTGATTCTTATGATCTCTTAAGCATCTTAAGCGTAAACTTTATTGCCAAGTATTATCAAAAATACAAGGAATTTGTCTCCAGCCCAAACGATATTTTAGGAGTAGTAAAGTATTAGGTTATAATTTAATCATCAGCTGGCCAATGGCACTCTGATGGCAAAGCAGTATCTTATCTCAGTGGGTCGGTGGTCAGATGGTGTAACAGATTGTATTCAAAAACCTATAGAGCTACACTCACAATTACAAATGGCAGTTTCTGAAGAAAATTAGCATTTTCTTGCTGCTGAAAGTTTAAGTTATTATCTTTGCTTGAAAATGATTATTCAGCAGGTTACTTTTTGTCAATCGTCTAATTAATTAATCAACTAGTCATTTCAGGGCTATTGAAGTGTCTAAGAGCTGCAAGAAGCTGAGGAGGGAGCAGAGTATGTCAGTGGAACAAAAGCCAGAAAGAAGCAGCAGACATAGGAGTCAAGGAGATAGGCCTGCTCCTATCAAAGCTGAATCAGGGCAGGATGCCACATGTGGAGAGCAGGAAGAGGAAACTGGACAGATATAGATTGGTTTGGGAGCCACACTTAACAACACATCTATCCCATTATGGGCCTCAGTGGAGGTTAATGTGCTTATCAAAATGTGCACCTTTGCACATTTCCTAACAGAGAGAGAAACGGCTCAGTGCAGGATTTAATTATGCATGAAAGGGTTTTCTATTTTTTCAGGTTCTAGGACTTAGTCTGTAGAGTTGACATGAAAGTGGGTCACACATAATGTGGATCATTAATTAGTATGGCTTTTTCACAGCTCTTTGTCACATCTCAGCTAATTTTATTAGGTAACAACCTAACGAAAAATGTTTGAATAGTGAGTCTCATTGAATAAAGAAAAGCTTTGGAAAAACAAGCACCTGCTTCATTATTTACAGAGCATGGAAACTCTGTTTCCCGCAACCCTATTCAGGAATAAGCAGTATAGATAATGGGTGGATGGAAGGATGAAACTGTGCTTTGAAGGGTTTCATTTTCATTTAAGGATGAGCCTAGCTGTATTTACTCTGTAAAATGCTGAGTACTCTTAAATAAACAAGTTTAACAAGTATAGCTGGTAGTAGTGCACACATATCATCAGTTTAACCCTGACATTAACAACTTGAGAATGTTTCTCATCTTCTTGTTTGAAAAGAATCAGTTATGAAATCAGTTGCATTTGCAACCACATGATTTTTCTGTAAATCAATTAATTGATTCACGTGTTTCAGCTCTATTAAAATGTCACTAGTGTAAATGAGAACACTGAATTAAGTGCCAATTTAAGTGTAAGCACAGTTGAAGGGTCAGTTGGAGTTAAAGTGCTACTGTAAAAGGATTTGAGCTGAGGCACTGACATAGTGTCAAAGTAAATAATAAACATATTATGAAATGATTTAGATGTTTTAAAGTGACAAAGTGCTTGGCATGAAGTAAATGCTCAGAAAAGCATGTAAACATACTGTTAAGGCTGAATACTCAGCACATTGTTACCAGATGTAGTCCTGCCTGTTGGAATCAAACAATACTGATGTTGGCTATCATGCGATCAACAGCAACATATTGATCATTACATTTCAGTCATTTTTCTTTACCTTTATTGTAGTGTAGGAAATCTAACATAAACATGACCATGGCATATAACATATATATATATGAATATATATATATATATATATGTTGGAAGTGTTTCTAAGCTTTGAAGGTACGTATATAAAACTTTATTTTGCTCAGAAGGATGGAATGTAAACAGTCTGTTTTTTCAAACTACAGTATTTTGTATCAGAGAACTTACTTTTCTGGAAGTATCGAACATTTTAATTGACGGTGGTACATATATTTTAAGGTAACAGGATTTGCGGCTGTATATAGTTATCTACATTTTTATGTTAAAATGCATTACAAAATGTTCTTTACAAAAATATGCAAACTTCAAAAATAAGATCACGAAATAAGACAATAAAATAAAATGAAAATAAACAAATTAAATATAGTGTATTGTCACAGTTACCTTGTATAGCTGCACTGCGTATGGTGGAATACAAAAAGAAGTAATGCGTATATTATCACTACATCATTTTTTTAACAAGTTACATTACAAGATGTTTTTTTACAAAAAGATTAAAATAGAAAAAATGAAATCACATAGTAAAATAAAGTGAATAATCAAACAATAAAATAAATTAAATGAAAAATGAAGATAGATAGATATAACACATCAAACATATGGTGGCCTGCTTCACAAGTTCTCACATTTCTAATTTTTTAGCTGCACTTTGAAAGGCAAGAAAGGGCAAAAGAAGGGTGGGACATAGGTTAGCAAATGATTAATAAATATATGTGCAAAAACATACAAATTAAAACAAAACACTTGCTCCTTCAAACTGTGACAGTTTTGAATCAACACAACCAGTAGGTGTCTCTGTATATACACTGAACAGGTAGCCCACAGGAAGGGAGTGAGCGTTGTGCGAATGTGATGGTACTAAACGCTCTACTAGAAGCAAAGCTCTTTCCTTAGTGTATGTTTCAGATCAATGTGGTAGTTTGCTCCAGGATTCTTCTTGTTATGTTCAAAGATGACCCCATTCACCTCAGTATGAATATCAAGAAGACTGGTTTTCCTGTCAGAACACAAACAAGACAACAGTTTAGTCTGGAGCTTCTGTGGTTCACAGATTATATGAAGTGTGTCTAATGCTTAATAGAATCTAAATTTGCTGCTGAGCATACCTCCTCTGGCCTTTATGTAAGGCATCTGTCAGAGACTTCAGGTAAACAGAGCGATGATGTCCTTGCTCCAGTTGGTGTTCATCTGTCCAACAGTGACTCCAGAACACGTCTGCATCTGTGGGGATGCAATTGTACCTGGACAACCCATCACACCCATCTGTCTCAAGATCCTCATCCCGATGGTGCATCCTGGCATGGAACTGAAACTCTGGGGTTTTGTACCTCTGGATGAAGAACAGTTTGGGCTTGCCAACCAACATGGGGCATGCATCAGCAGTGAAAAGACGTCGGATACTGTCTAGGTATATACCTGCACTGTACGAGTCTGTACACAGGAGGTTATGAGCTGTACCACGACTAATGATGCAACAGACAAACCCATCACCTCTGTGGTTCTCTCTCTGTCTGACTATCCCTCTGAGAGCGGAAAGCGTGTCATCCACACTCAGCCACTTGTAGAGGATCACATTGAAGTGAAGAGCCGTAAATGTCTGTTCCAACATGTCTGAGGAAGTAAGGAAGGATAAAACCTGATTTTCAGTTTTAAGTTTTATCACTAAAACAATTTACAGTTCCAGGGTGACCCCCATGACAAAAAAAAAATCTTACATGAGCTGTTTTTCAGTTCTACCAAAGAGACATTTCCCCTATAAACCTCTCATGTGGTTTCATTTAAATACCTGTTTGAGGCCACAATATGATCTATTATTTACCAAAAAGCAAGGTTAGAAGAAAAGCTTGAACAATTAATACATATTTGTTTAGAAAAACTTTTTTCCTTTGCCTTTCATCAGCTCACAAACCCTTAAATCTGTCTTTGGAGGGGACCAGCCCCAAGGTTGGAAACCCCTGGCCTATACCAAACTGTATATAAATTAGTAAGGTAGTTTCCACCTCAATTAATATATGACATTATAAGCAGCTTTTCACTATATCGGTGTTAAAAACTAGCAATGCCAGATAGGATTATTTGCCAGTGAAGAGCCATTTTTCTTTAAGTACCTTTTTCTAATTATATTTTTACTAGGATCTTACTTGTAATTTTTACCTTGTGGTATTGCTACTTTTACTTATGAGGATGTGAATACATATTTCACCACTATGTGTATGTACAAAATGTTTTGTGCCTCACCTCCATCATTCCCCACACAGTCAATGATAATACAAACTCCTCTGGGATCAGTGTTAAATTTGTACGACTGGACTGGATTCTGAAATGCAAAGGAGGGAATAAAGGCAGCTTTATAAATGCACCGTACTAATTAAACACTTGAAAAATAAAAGAAAATGGTCTTTTAATAAGTGCAAACCTTACCTGATAGTTCTGCCTCATAGATACAGGCACTGATAAGTTTTCTGGGGCTGTTAGCAAAGAGTAATACAGTAACATGAACATCAAACCTGGCATGGGGCTTTCCAGTTGTTTTGAATGGGTAGCTATTACAAAGCCCTGTCTAAAATAACATCTGCCAGTACAAGGAGTCATTTAACTATCTTTAGTAATGTCTTACCAGTATGGAGGGGCTGTCCTTGTCTTGTTTGCTGTACAGAATGAGAACTATTTGCGGTGGGGGGTGGACACTAAAGAGGAAATAGTTTTATTAGAGAGTAGTAGTTTTATTAGAGAGGAAAATGATATGTTAACCTTCGTACAGTGTCATACTCACGGGATTTCTGCACCTTTGCACTTGAGAAGAATGCTGTTCAGGTGTTGCAGCTGTAAAAGGTGTACACAGTCAGAAATTCAAGTAAATATGAGTCATAAAGTATCGTTTAAAGTACCTCATGATTACTTTTCTACTCTTATTTGTTCAAATATTGCACATTTTTTATACATGTTAAGTTACTTGGTCAGGATCTAATCCTATGTTTCCTGTTCCAATTGCCACTGTAATTGAAATATCAGTACTTTATATTTTACTGTATAACTCAATGTATAATAGATGTTCTTCCACAGGCTACACTAAATGATTTCAAGAATGTGTCTGCCCTATGTAAAACATGTTTTGCTTTCATTTCTTTGGTGTAGGAGCTATGTAATGCAGCAGTGACATTCTTTGGGGGAATTTGAATGTCAGCAGAACATATTCATTCACACTCAGTTCCCATTTTTAGCAATTCCCTGGCTAAACAATGTGTAAACGGTTCACACCACACAGCTCAAACTTTGAAATCTCACCTGAGAATTTCCTTTTTCATATTTTGCCAATGGGAATACTCTTGCTCGTGATACATATGTGAACTCACCTGGCATCTTGTAAGCAGCTACTTTTTTGGCTATGTCAACCCTGCCAATGTTTATGAAACATTCCTCCAAGAAGTCCACTCTTTCAGGAGCAACTAAATCCAGCTTCTCAAGTTCAATGACCACATCCAGGAAATTCTGTGGGGGAGAGGGGGGAGTTATTCCTCTTGTCTGAATGGAATGGACAACTGCTTTGACATGCAAAAAAAAAACAAAAAAAAATCTCCCCTCCTACGCTGTTAACTAACCTTTGCTCTTTCTGTCTTATCACGTGGTATTGTGGTGCTTAACAGGAATTTCAAACTGCTGAGATCATCGCTGGCAATGTCCTCATTTATATTAACCATCAATACTCTGCAGTAAGAGAAACCACGATTACTTAAAGAACCCGGTCGATTTGGATTGTATATTATTTATGACTCATCAGATATCATACCTGAATCTTGGCAGAACATGTCTGTTTTTGGTAATCCTCTCCAACTCCTCCCTGCTGGTCTTAAACAGCTTTCTCATGATGTCCAAACGTCTCAGCTGCCACATGAGCGCTGCCAGAAACAGCAGACTGTTCTCGTGGAGTATTACCTTAGATTCCAGCATCTCCTTCACATCAACCGAGCTGCTGTCCGTCTCCGAGCGTCCACACAAATAAATGAGCGCCGCGACTTCCGTGCTGCTTAGAGCCTCTATCATCTGAGGGATTACCTGAGGCAGGTGTTGTTCTGGAGATGCCATGAATGTTTGTAGGAAGTGGAATGGTAGCTGATATTGGTCGACAGCAATGGAGGCTGATGTAATGATCAACACACCCACAAAAAATGTGTCTAAACTGAAGTAAAAAAAAACACTGACCTTACAGCGAGAGAAACTGGAAAAAGGAATGACGCACGACTAAAAACTCCCGTTGAGTAAGTTCCGCTTTCATATAGTACACCTACAGCTGTAGGGTACCTGGAAATATTTGCTGTATCGATCAGCAGTTGTGGTCGGTTTTTATTAATAAATACCCTAACATTTAATTGGTATATATGCCTACACTATCATACGCTTTGATAGCTAAAGCGAAAGTGAAAGCTACACGTCAGCTTCAACCTTAAAGGCACAATCCACGGATGCAGATGGTCTGAATCAAAATTAGTTTAGACAATTAGACTTCATGAATTCAAGCCCTTTATTAACGAGTGATTAACATTTATACTTCCATGATGTATCTTAATAAAAAGGTAGGCAGCCAATGAGATTTTCTTGTCTTATAACTGATCTATAAAACATTAATAAAGTATTTTCGAAAAATTAAATAAAGCTATCAGCAGAACTTAAGAGCCTTAGAAAATTCATCTGCAACGGTTTCAATCATTAATTCTTGTTTCAGTCATTTTTCAAGCAAATAGGCCTATGCTACTCTCATTTCAGCTTCTCAGATGTGAGGACTTTCTATTTTTCTTTGACATATGTGTAAATCGAATAGCCTATGTTTGGGTTTCCAAAGTTTGGTCGGACAATAAGCAAGATGAAGATATCACCTTGCGCTCTGAGCAACTGTAAAGGTTTAACTTAATCAGTCATGAAAATAGACTAACCAATAGATCAGCTGATAATAAAAATGTAAGCTGCATCCCTATAGACAACGGGAATAATTAACATTAGACAGGAATACTTAACAATAGGCCCAGTGTTTGTGTGTTTGTAATAATTAAAAACAACAGAGCAACACAAGTTAATGTTTTTAGACTTTTCCCCTGACATTCAGTCTTTACTAACAAATTAAAACAGGCTCATAATCAAATTGTGTTTGGTGGATGCATGAAAAGGGGGAAATAAGTTACTTTTTGAACAAATATTGTAGGGGCATAAAGTAATGTCAGATCAAGTCTGTCTGCGTTTTGAAGCTTCGAATCTCGGTGCCTGCAGTCCACATGTCGAAGTGTCCTTGGGCAAGACACTGAACTATAGTTGTTTTTGGTGGCCTGTTTTAATTTTAGTTTTAGTCAAGTCTTTGTGTAAAGCTGTCATTTTAGTTTTTATTAGTTTTAGTCACATTCGTACTCTTTTTAGTCTAGTCTAGTATTAGTCGACGAAAACTGATTACATTTAGTCTAGTTTTAGTCAATGAAAATTGTATTTTAGTCTCTTTTTAGTAATGCAATTCTATTTAACCCAGTCAATATAGTATAAGTACCTAGTAGTATAGAGGAAACCAAAAGTTTCTTTTAGCCAAACCCATTTCAAAAAAGGTTATTATATTATTGTTACCTTATAGACTCAAGAATACATCCAATACACATTTTGTGTGATTTTGTGGCCACATTTAGTCTCGTTTTTTTCGTCAATAATATTGCATTATACATTTAGTTATAGACATCGTCACACGACCAGCATTTTCGTTGCGTCTCATCACGCGATAAAAGTTCGTTGACGACGATGTTTGGTCATAATTTTTGTTGACGAAAGCAACTATACACTGAGCCCCCCTGTTGCCCGTGATGGCGGCGCGTATGCACGCATCGGCAGTTTTACTGTTGTGTTTCAGAGAATCTTATTTACTTTATGTTTTTAGTTTTCATATATTTTGACTTTTTCTCATATTTGAATCTGCAACGATTCGGGATATTCTGTTAACACAGTCTACATACAGTATATACCATACAATCGGACTTGTTTACGTTTCCTTGTCAACGTGCGCTCAAACTCTGAAGCTATGTTTTCCGACAGCGGTGAAGGCATCACTGCTGCCCCCCCCGCAGGTCTCCTGACGCTTTCTGCTTACCAAAGCGCATCAAGTTCCGCTCAGCCTGGCCAATCGTGTCGCGCTGTGGTTCAG